CTCTCACTCACTCACTCACTCACTTACTCACTCACTCAGTTACAAGCAAGAAATATTAGTTAAAATGTTTAATATCTAGGCTTATGGACCTACATATTAAAATATACGGCAATTTTATAAATATAACAATTGATTAATATAAAATTAATTAATTTTAAAAATCACCTATTGACCAATTACTTTTGATTAATATTACTATAAATAACTGTGGATAAATTAATTTAAACATTCACAACAAAACATATTTTAATAAATTATAAATTAACATAATAAAAAACATATTTAACTCAATACGTATTTAATTCATAAAACACAACAAAATATCTGCCATTTTGTAGCAAAATATTAATTGCATTAAATCACATAAATTAATCATCATCAAAAACAATGGCGATTAAATTGGCAACAAAACTGGCGAATAAATTGGCGGTAATGGAAATACTGGTCATTATAATCATTGTCGTAGCGTTACTACCAAGTGGCATGGTTGGTTTACCCTTACCACTAGCTACTTGTGTTTGCGTGGTATCACCATGCCCGTGTAGCCGTGAAGATATTTTTGGTTCGCTATTTGCTGTTTGAACATTATATTTTAAAATTTATAATAACAATGTTGTAATTAACACTTAAAATTAAATATTGTTTATTAATACTGTTTTTGTCTGATTTCTATGATCGCTTATTAATAAAGATTTTCATTATTATTTTACATAAGATAATAATTTTAATTCAATTTAATTAGAAAAATTAATACATTCTAAATAAATATAGACACAGTTTTAAATTTAATAACTAACTTTTACGAATAACAAAATATTTCATTGTTTGTAAACTACGGATTATTATCTTAGTTTTATTTTATTGCAACAAAAGGTATTTATTAATTATATAAGTTTAAATAATACAATGCATAAATATTATTTAAAACACATATTTAAAAAAATATTTAATTTAGTATGTTTTAAAATATTTTATTTTTTGTATCAAAACATTCATTATGAAACCGTGTAATCTTATAGTATTTTGAAAATAATACGCACAGCTCACTTATAATGATTTTAATTAAACTGTAACTTAAAATATACTAAAAATAGTTATAAGTTATAACTAATCGCTTAAATCATCATTCTCCTTGTTCCATTGACCAGGGTTAAAGTAAATCTCTTTATTCACGGCAAACATGCTGATTTCCGTCCGACGCTCGGGGTCTCCACTTTTTTCACACTCTTCCTCCGATCGCTTAACGGACTTAAAAATAATAACAAAATTAATGAATGAATTGTTTAATTGTTATATAATTATGAAAATACATACCATAAGAATGAGCTGATACAGGCTTTTATACCACGAGTACTGGGCTATGGTATGGCTAAGCGCCTGATCCAATACACTCACGTGACCAATGGGGCCGTTGACCGGGTCGTACCACGAGGTTAATCCTGGTGAAACATAGATATTATATTTAGTATAAATTAAAATTCACATGTCACAGTTTAATCTAATTAATAAATTAGCTTGACAGAATAAAATTTAAGGCTAGTAATTACCTTCAGCACAGGCGTATATCACGTGCGTTTGTTTGTTCGCCTTTTTCCACTGGGGATCTAGATGTTTCATAGTGTCCATCATAGTCGGTTCACATGTCGTACACACCAAGCGACCCTGGCCCTTTGCGCATTCACTACCGGTGTTTACGGGCTGAGCGTCGGGCAGTGGTAGGGCATCTTCGGCTAATTCTATATTAAAAAACCAAAAATAGTAATAAAATAATTGACCAACAGAGTTTTGCTGGTATGAAAAGGGAATGTAGAGTGTAATATAGTAATTAATAAAATAACAATAAGTTCATACTTAGGCGGCAACAGTTGAATACAAAGAGTTTGGTCTTTAGCCTCAACGGCCGGCACCGGGTCTCGGAAAACATATCCAATATATCTCTGATGGGCAGCACATCGTCCCGAGTCGGGTCGCTTGCTGACCACCCGATAATCTTTTCGTTATATCCGTGACCGATGAAAATCATGACAAACGCGTCGCCCCTACATCTTTTTGTGGCCACCTCGCTCAGTCTGGCCACGATTTGCACCTTGGTGGATCTTTGATATAGGTAGGGTTCAAATAATAATTGTTTCCAAATTGACCTGAATCGTTCGGCCTCGAGATACAGGTCAGGTTCGGTGACAAATATGAGGGCCACCCCACGCGGGTTGGCGTCCATTTTGGTTGTGAATTTGGTGTAGGTCCGAAGGACTCGGGCGGGCTTTACCTCCAGGTGAATGTCATAGGAGTTTGCCCATGGTTTTTCCCATAAGTTAAACTCACGCAATTGTTTAGCGGCAGTATGTTGGCCAGATTGCTCTAGGGCGTAGACCAGATGTTCGGTACCATCCTTGACCAAAGTGAACTCGCTGAATATGCGGCATTTTTTGGCTAGATCGTCCGGGAAATTCTAACGATGATAAATTAGTATATTTAATTGTATTATCAAATTCATTATATTATTCAAGTTGGCTAATTTGTATTTATAATTAATTAAATGTGGTAAGTTTATTTTATCACATATTACTACCGTTATATTTAATACGAGTTATTTCTAAACTTTACATTAAAAGTAAATAAACAATGTTGATAATTATAGTTATAGAAACCAACCTACATAATGTTACATGTAAAATACTTTCAGGTATGCAACACAATATATTAGACAAGTTTATATAATTAAATCGAATACCGTAGTTAATTATAAAGTTTACATTCTTAGTTATTCAATTTATATGATATAATTAAATTAGTTATTAATAAAAAAATTTAGTTACACAATACGTACTGTTAAACTTGAAAGTAAATAATTGCATGGGTGTTCACTTAGCAGATACATAAATTTCTCATTTAATTTAACTCCGGTGATAAATTCATGAAATTTTTCGTTAAAAACCGCCCGGGGTCCATATTGGTCCATGATAGTTGTTAGATGACTTTTACAATTCAAATGATGATCGTGGTAATATTAATAATTACATTAACCGAGATCAGTTAACTGTAATACTGTTAAGACATTCAGTGTATTTTATTTTTGTATGCCTTTCACTCTCTGACACTTAATCATAATGTCTGGTTATTCATTATCTAATATACAATATATTTATACAGTTAAAAGCGAAACACAGACTTGTAACAAATGTTTGGATAACAATATTTTTATCTTAAATGAAATGCACTGTAAAATCAACACATTTTTTGATAAAATAAGAGGGAAGAAGGGCGTGACAGGAAAGGATAATTCAAAAAAGTTGCATGTTTACCGAGACATATTAGCTAAAATGTCTAGTATCTAGGCCTAGATGTCCAAAAAGGGTAGGCTTTGCCCGTATGCTCCCATAGACAATACATTGGGAATTCAATCTTTTTTCAATCTTTTGGACATATACAATATAAAAATGTACCTTAATTTTATAAATATTACAATATATTAATTAAAAATATAATTAGTTTTAAAAATCATCTATTAAACATATATAATTCATTAATTTTGCTTATTATTACAATAAATAACTATTGATAAATTAATTTAAGCATTCACGACACATATTTAAAAATATTCTAATAAATTATAAATTAATATTAAAAACATATTTAACTCAATACGTATTCAATTTATGCAACACAACAAAATACCTGCCATTTTCTAGTAAACCATTAATTGCATTAAGGCACAAATTGATCATCATCAAACAATACAATGGCAACTAAACTGGCGACTAAACTGGCGGCTAAACTGGCGGTTGTGGCGATACTGGTCATTATAATTATTGCCGTAGCATTACTACCAAATGGGCATGTTGGTTTACCCTTACCACTAGTGACTTGTGTTTGCGTGCGAGCACCATGCCTGTGTGGCCGTAACCCTTTTTATGGTTTCCGCCTTCCTATTTGAACACGATAATTTAAAAGTTATAATGACAATGTTGTCATTAACAATTAAAAATAAATAATGTTTATGAATACTATTTTTGTTTAATTTATATAATTAAATACTTGTTTAAAAAGATTATAATTGTCATTTTACATAAATTAAAATACTAATTTATTTCACAATCAAAATTAATACATTATAAATACAGTATCAAATTTAAAAATAAACTTTTTAAATAACAAAATATTTCATTATGTGTAATATTATTATTTTTTATTGCATTGTAACAAAATTAATTAATTTGTTAATTTAATTAACATATAAATTTTATTTAGAACACATGTAACTATGTAAAAATATTTAATTTAATACGGCACACAATATTTTATACTTTGTACCCACAAAATTCATTATTAAATAATGTAATCCCCATTAAATAAATAATAAGCTTAGCTCACTTATAAAGACTTTAATTAAACTTAAAATATATCAAAAATAGTTACGATTAATCGCTTAAATCATCACTCTCCTCTCTCCATTGACCAGGGTTAAAGAAAAGTTCCTTATTCACGGCGAACATGTTAATTTCCGGCCTCCGCTCGGGGTCTCCACTTTTTTCCAACTCCTCCTCCGATCGCTTAACGGACTTAAAAATAATAACAAAATAAATGAATAAATTGATTGATTGTTATAATTATATAACATTGAAAACACATACCATAAGAAACAGCTGATACAGGCTTTTATACCACGAGTACTGGGCTATGGTATGGCTAAGCGCCTGACCAAATACACTCACGTGACCGATGGGACCGCTCACCTGGTCGTACCACGCTTTTAATCCTGGTTAAACATAGTTATAATGTTAAATATTAATTCAAATAAACTTATCATAGTTAAATACTCAAATTTGTAAGTAAGTCTAAAAACAAACAATCAACTAGAAACTTAGCTTGACACAATCAAAGTTTAAGCTGGTAATTACCTTCAGCACAGGCGTATATCACATGCGTTTGTTTGTTCTCTTTTTTCCACTGTGGATCTAGATGTTGCAGCGTGTCCATCATGGTGGGCTCGCATTTCGTACACGCCAAACGACCATGGCACTTTGCGCACTCGCTACCGATGTTTACGGGCTGAGCGTCGGGCAGGGGTAGGGCCTCTTCGGCAAATTCTGTATAAACAATTAAACAATAGTATTTAAATAATTGAACAAGAGAGTTTTGTTTGTCTGAACATTGTAAGTACATGTAGATTATGGCAATAAATTAATTAGCAATAAGTACGTACTGACGCGGCAACAGTTGAATACAAACACTTTGGTCTTTTGCCGCAACGCCCGGCACCGGGTCTCGGAAAACATGTCCACTATATCCCTGATGGGCAGCACATTGTCATCACCACCCGCTGACCACCCGATAATCTTTTCGTTATAGCCGTGACCGATGAATATCATGACAAACGCGTCGCCCTTATACTTCTTTTTGGACTGGGCCACCTCGGTCAGTCTGGCCACGATTTGCATCTTGGTGAATCCCTGGTGTAGATATGGCTCAAATAGCAGTTGCTCGCAAATTGACCTGAATCGTTCGGCCTCGAGTGACAGGTCAGGTTCGGTCACAAATATGAGGGCCACCCCACGCGGGTTGGCGTCCATTTTGAGCTCTTTGGATGTGTCGGAACGCAGGGCTCGGGCCGGTTCTACATTCAGGTGAATGTCATAGGAGTTTGCCCATGGTTTTTCCGATAGATTAAACTTGCGCAATTGTTTGGCGGCATCAGCTTGCCCAGATTGCTCGAGCGCTTCGGCCAGCCGTTCGGTGTTGTCCCGGACCAAAGTGAACTCGCTGAATATGCGGCATTTTTTGGCCACATCGTCTGGGAAATTCTATTAATGATAAAGTATATTAAGTTTAATTCACAATGTTAATTAAATATGTTTTAGTTTTATTTATTTTTTGTTATTTGTTTATGTATTATCTTATTTTCAATAATTAACTTTTTAAAGTGTTTATTTCTAACTATAAATGTTTTTAATATTTATCTGAAGTTTGCTAATTGGTATTTATCATTTAATGAATATGATAAGTTTAGTTTTAATAAATGCAACTAATTAATTGTAAATTTATCTCTATATGAAAATTAAATAAATATTAACTAAAGATAATTATAGTTATAGAAACCAATCTACATAATCTTAAATGTGAAATACTTGTTATGCATTACATTATACAAATTAATATACTTAAATCTAACATAATAGTTAATTATAAAATTTACATTGTGATTCATTCAATTTATATAATATAATTAAATTATTTATTAATAAAAAAAATAATCTAGTTATAATACAAACCTCTAAACTTGGTAGTAAATAATGGCATGGGTGTTCACTGAGCTGGTTCATAAATTTTTCAGTTAATTCAACGCCCGTGATAAATTCATAAAATGCCTTGTTAAAATCCACCCTGGGTCCCTCTTGGTCCATGATTCTTGTTAGTTGACATTCACAATTCAAATGATGATTGTAGTAATATTAATAATCACTTTAAACGAGATCAATTAAATTTAACTCTAATACTGTTAAGTCATTTAAGTAAACGCTATGTAAACGTCTAAAAGTGTGAGTTTTATTTTTGTAATGTATGCCTTTACATACATTACACTTTACATACATACACTTAATTGTATGCCTTTCACTCTCTCACACCCTATCATAATGTCTGGTAATTTATTATATAATCTGCTCTCTCTCTCTCTCTCTCTCCTGCAATAAGTGGCAAATATTTCAAAAGTAAAAGCACCACCACTTTATTTCAATGCCATTTACATCGAGCTAATCAATTACGGTATACTGAATATCAACAGTATTTTCTATGTTTATATGCAAAGCATTTATTAAAATTATTTATTTTATTTTGATTAAAACTATAAAAATCAATGTTAATGTAATAGCATATTGATGTTTTTATTACCAAATTAAAATATAGCGATCACCATGATCAATATGTGACTGAAAAAGTTGTTTTACAAATAGTGATAGTTTTGTAAACCTGTGCCAAAACCTTGATATACAGTATGTGTTTATGTCTGGCGTTTGTCACGTAAACCACAGCTTAGATGGAAATGTGTTTTATTTTTAAGGTTTTTAGTGAATTTATTTTACAATTAGTTATTATAACTTATAATGATTAAATAGTTTTACCAAGACTAGTAAATTTTAAAAAAATAACTCTCTCGCTCTCTCTATTTATTTTATTCATTTTAAACTTATAACATTTTTTAAATGGTGCCTGATTACTAATTATTGCACTTTTTATTATTAAAATGAAATATAATTTGACAGAGATGTTAAATTTTACATTTATTTAAATAAAACAATTATTTAATTACAACATTATATTTGGTATTTATTAATTGTTTAGTGTCCTAAAACTCAGACAAAAATAATCTATAAAATAACTATTAGTTAAATAAATGCTTTAATTTTATATATAAATTGTAAATAACCTACAATAATGTTTAACAATTTTGTAAAAATTTATGAAGCCTTCGAAATAGATTGCATTTAAATAATAAAACTTGTCAAATGTTTTAATATAAAAACTTGTTAAAATATTTATAAAACATTAGACAAAACAAAATAATGCAATTTAATACAACATAAGCCGATATTATACTGTATGTTACCAAAATAAATTAATAATTAAATTATGTACTTCAATAATATTGTAAATAATACGTGAAAAAATATAAGTTCCAATAATAACCAAAGATTAAGCTCATTTATAATGACTTAAATTAAAGATCATAATGCCGAGTAATTAGTCGCTTAAATCATTATCATCACCCTCTTTCCACTGACCAGGGTTAAAATAAAGCTCCTTGTTCACAGCAAACATATTGATTTCCGGCCGTCGCACGGGGTCACCCAATTTATCTAGCTCATCCTTTGGTGGATTAGTCTTAAAAAATTGTAACAAGATTTATTTATTAAATTATAAGTAAATTTAATTTATTAATGTAATTAACAAATACATACTTTGAGAAAATCCTGATACGCTTTCTCCGAGTCTTCCTCTGATTTTTGAACGGTCTTTAAAAATCATAACAAAATTAATTAATTAATTAATTTGTTATTATTATAGAAAATTATAGTAAAATACTGACCATAAGAATGAGCTGATACAGGCTTTTATACCACGAGTACTGGGCTATCGTATGGCTGAGCGCCTGACCGAATACACTCGCGTGACCGATGGCAGTGAGGGGGAAATTTTGGTACCAGGCTTTTGAACCTAGCGTGAAAATAAATTAAAATAATTTAATTTAAATTGTATTTTTTAGTACATCCAGTTTAAAGGCAGTAAATATCAGCATTTTTGAGCTTGTTAACCCCACCCAAAAAAATTAACAAGTACAACATTACCATGGAATTAGTAATTATCGTGATACTTATATTGGTAATTACCTTCAGCGCACGCATATATCACGTGAGTTAGTTTATTCTTCTCTTTCCACGTGGGATCCAGTGTGGCCAGCGTGTCGATCATGGTCGGTTCGCATTTCGTACACACCAAACGACCCAGGCACTTTGCGCACGCGCTACCAATGTTTACGGTCACGGCGCCGGGTTTGGGCTGAGCCGTGACGGCCACTCCTAAATAGTTGCAAAACCACAATTATAATAACTATGTACATTATTGTGTGTGTGTGTGTCATGGTGATTAAGTTATTAATTATGTTGAGTAATAATATAATGAACATACTTTCGCGACAACAGTTAAAAATAAAGATCTTGATCTTTTCGCGTAACGCCCGGCACTTTCCGGTCTCGGAAAACATGGTCATTATGTCGCGGATTGGCAGCACAGTGTCGTCAGCCGGCGGCCACTGCGGCTGCGCTGACCACCCGATGATACTCTCATTAAATCCGTGACCGATAAACATCATGATAAACGCGTCGCCCTTGTATTTGCCCGCATACTTGCCCTTGGATTGGG